ACCATTGCAAGCTAAGTTGTTGAAATGCAGAATCATGTGGTAGATTTCCAGGCTTCTTGTCTGATGAGGCTCTACGCGTCACGCGTCAGGACTCAAAGTGGCGTTTTAGTACCCCGCCCTGCTCGGAAATTCAATGGGACAAACATCAAGGGAGAGAAAATGCAAGATGGTCACTATTACTTTGAAATGATATTTGCAGAGTAGAGATATGTCTTCGCCAAAGCTTTGTTGACGCCCAGCACTTCGGGTGCTTCAAAATCACAAGGTGCGTCATGTCGGATTTTGATTTATCCGACCGACATCAATATAACCCGATTAGGATGTACACTTTGAAGCTGTTTGCGTTTTGTCCTATATCAACCTGTTTAGATGGTTTATTCGTTGATATCCTCGTTGTTTTAACTATAGGACTAGGCTTGTATGGTTTATGGATGTCTCACTTAGATTCTGCGTTAAATAACAAAAAGCACGCGAGAATGCTGATATATATATCCACTTGAGGCCCCCAATTTGTTCTCAAGAAAACAAAACCAAGCTCTACAACCAGACAAGCCAAACCTAAAATCGTGTCCAAAGAAGATGATAATTTATCTGGTATATCAGTTGAAGTTATGTATGTAGTGATTGGACAGTGAGTCTTAATTGAATAACCAGCACACATAGATACAATTGAACGACAACATGGCTCCATGAGTTGCCTAATAACACGTCATCTTCCAAAAGGACTTGCACATGCCGAGCAGGAAAAAATGGACAGATATCTGGGACACTAAGCAAAGCGATATGCATATACGGAGTATACGGAGTCCAATTAATTTTCGTGATATATATTGCGTCTAAAGCATATCCCAGCCATTATTCTGTGTTTCTCCCTCGTAGATGAATGGCTTTATAGGACGGGGACAATTCAGCCAATAGAACCTACCCGGTGGAGATAACTTGCTTTCCGAGTGATCAGTTAGGTTACCCTCGAGAGTTAATAGGGGCCCTTCTAGAGCGCGATCTACAACGCAGAAGAACCTTCTAAATGAGACCAGACTGTAATAGGAAAGTGAACAATGACAATGCTAGTTTCAACATTTCGACACTAACTCCTCATTAACTCTTCATTGGTCGATGATGGAGGTGTGGAAGGGATGATTTTCCTCTCCAGAGCAATTGTAGACGTGCAGGATCTACATTTCGCTTGCGTCTGACAGTTGTGTGGTGCTCGCACCTTTTAGTCCTAAGCCGTGCCGATTGGTTGTACCTCCACCCAGACCCGGTATTCTGGATTTTAGTACTCCGTATTCCGTAGATGATTTGCAGTTCCAATTCCAATTCCAAATATTTTTGACTTTCCTTAAGCGATGGGGTCCTTGTAAAAATTCACCTTCTCTAATAATGTACTCTGTACAACGTACAACGGTGTGAGAACGTGTCGGGGGTTTCTTCGGCGAGACCGCAAGTTGGACTGTGTGGATATCTTTAGCCGATCATTTCTATGAATAATTCACCCCGCACCTACATACACAACAGGGTTAATGGTTGATTTATTGGGCTTCATGAAATTAAAGAGAATGACAAGGAGGGTTGCTTTCTTCCTTTTTGTTTAGTTTCGTATTAATATTGTCGTGCGTCCTTAGCGCAACCCCTAAGCTGGTGAAAAGGTCGGCCTGTGAAGTACAGGTCTATCCTGTCCACGGCCAATGAAATCCAGTGATATCATTTGTGGAGAATAAACATCTGTGAAAAATACTACCCTTTCTCCAGTAGGTAGTTGTTTCATGCATGACACGTAGTATCAAGTACGTTTAGCGAAAGACCCAAGACGGGCGATGGGCCGATATGCACGTTGTCAAGGATAATAGGCTGCATGTCTTACTTGACTCAAGGCCACTTTCAATAGAGTTTCACTATTTTTTGAAGCAGATGAGTTGTCAAGAAACGAGTCAGGCACATTCTTCCAGGTGCAGGTAGTTGGTACCCTACTGATGGGAACAAGGCGCAACTCGGGGTGATTCTCGCTGCATACATTTGCTTAGCACTCCTGTCATTTGTTTTTTTTCTTCCTAGATCTTGATGCAGATTGGCTGGCTGAATTTTCCGGTGTGCAGCCCTACAAACTAGGTACTAAGTACATACAGAGTAGCTTAGTGAACATAGGAAAGTGAGCACACGTTTTTCCCTCTTGGACTCTTATCCGATAGGCCATTATCTTATTGTCAGAGTCTTGGTATCCCGTGTAACATGTGTCTCGATTTGGTCATATATATTCGGAGTTGTTCGGTTGTGAACACTTAGCAGACTAACAGACCCTATAATTTCCTATGCCCTATCTATATCCCCACATGAAAGAAACCACCGTATGTACATCCTTCGTACAAGTCCCGCTTATGGTGGGTAACTTGAGATGCCAGCGGCCAAAGCAAGAATCTCAAAAGAGGTAAACCGCCAAGGGCTGTCTCCACTACATGCTCCGCTGCGGAGTGACGACTTAGCGGTTAATGGGTTGCGGTTCGACAGACACCGAACCACGCATATATTGTTGTACTAATGTAGCGTCAGAGAGAGAGACAACTCATAAAAAAAAAAATCGCATCCGCATGCCTAGTCAATTAGCAAAGAAAAACGGATTGAAAATTCCATCAAAGAATGTATGTACATAGTTCCCTTCCCGTCTGGGAAATTGGTTCTGGGGCCGGCGCTACCGACACATTGGAACCCGAATAACTTTCCTAGTCGCCGGGTCCGGGTGAATTGCAATTCCAATTAATTCCCGGGGTGTTCCCCTTGGATGGGAACCCGGGTCCATGGCAGCGAGATCATTATTTTTGGGACGACTGCAGGGATGCTGTGCTTGGAATTCTATCTGCAAGCTTACGATCCTGGTTGTTGGCGTGTTTTGCTTTTATTTTTTACCCCCTTTCTTTCTATCGTATAGAATACTCAAACTGGAGCTTTTTGGCTCGGGGTACTCCGAGTACATGAAGGTTACGTTTTTATCTTTGTAGATACTTTTGTTACTTGAAATTGGGGTGTATACCTGGACACATTTGTCATTTCCGTCTATAATATATGCTATATGCTATAATTACGTCTTTATTTGATCGACATTTGCAGCACAATGACGAAAGATTCCTACATATTTCTCGGTCTAGAAGTTCGGGGTGGAAACTTGAGGACTTTGTATCTCTGTACGATATTGTACGGAGTAGGTAATACTTTGTATAGCGCGGAAATCCAGACGTCATTAGAAAATAAAATAAAAAAAGTATAAAAGATAAAAAACCGATATGAAGACCCGGAATAGCGGAAACTATTGTGCATGTTCCGTGATGCACTTCTCGATCCCATGTGCCCCTCCTTATGGAGCAATTTGAGGAGAAAAAGCTCAGGCTTCAAGCGCCCCGTGTGACGCTATTTCTGATGGATCACTTCCTATTTTCCCACCGCTAGACCTAAATATAGTAGAGTCTGAGTTGTCCAAGCAAAATAAAACAAAACAAAGGAAATTTTTAGTTTTCTATCCAGGACTTTAAAATATATTCTAGAATTATTCTCTTTGATATTCGGGTCTAACGGGACCTCGGGAGTCCGTGCGATGACTAAGGTCTTGGCATGTGGGAACAGTACCGCATTGTTATGGAGATTCATTTGGGAAATCCCAACAACTCCACGTCTCTATGGGGCCGTTCCCCAGTCTAGAATCCATTATTATCCTCCCTTTTCTTTTTTGGATTTTGATGTGAAGTCTTTATAGCATGGGTTTATTTGTTCACTTACGAAAAAAACAAATCTCACTTCGGGATATAACGGCGTTTGAATCTGACTATCGCTAGGATGACCCTGCAGGGTTCTGCACAAGTGTTCTTGGGAATCGTTTTCTGCTGATCGGCTCAATCTAAAGGACAAATCCCAGCAGAAAGGTTGAAGGCGGCCCGTGGCTGGGCGGGTTGCATATTCCCAGCTAGATGGCACCAACCTCTATTGGTTCATCGAGCCCAACCAGCCAGGAGCCTGCGATCGTGAGGATCGAGATAATGAGCTCTGGGTAAAATGGCTACCTAAGTTCTGAAATAGATACATAATATGTACCATCTGGGGTCCCACGTCAGGGAACCGGAGGATGACCCGCGGGGGGGGAGTCACCGGAAAAAGAGTCCTAGGTTATATCAATCCAACATCACAAGTTGGAATAATAGTGAAACCGCCAAGGGATATTGTTGTATCTTATGATTCTGTCCTTCTGAGGGAAGGAAATAAGTTTAATACTTATATTCTTGGTCGCCGAATAGTATGAAAACAAGCAGAAAACACAAAAGGTAAACCAAGTAAAAAAGCCAAGTAAAAAACCAGTATCAATTACATATTAATTCCGTCCAATCATCTTCCATAGAGAACTACACTTTTTCCCCAGCGAAAACAGGGATATTACATGGATACTATCCCGCTTTTAAATGCTTTTACGCCTGAAGCGCCTGGGCATCTTACTCTTTCATATAATTTTACTTTTTCACTTACCATTTACCCAGCTTTGTACACGAACTAGAGCTCCACTTACCGGGGTTTGCTTTTGCATTTGTTTTTTTTTTGTTTTTTTTTGCTTTTCGAATATTTCAAATGTCGATCTTGCGCTGAATTATAGTTGTCGGGATTGTCCTCCCGCCCTGCCAGATTATAACTTAACCCAAGTTGTCGGGCTCCTCTTCCCCCCTCCTTCTCTTTCAATCATGTCTGGATTTGCGTCAGTTTGAGTCCTTCCGTATTCATACTGGGTCTTGGAATGGAGCACGAGATAACTTCCTGAATCAACTTCACTAGGGAATAGCTCACTGTCTATCCCGAGCGTCTTGATACACCTGCCCATTATCGATTTCGGATAAGAGCGAGGTGACCATGGGTGCTAGACGTCCGGTGAGTTTGTTTCTCTTATAGAATATGGTCCCATGTCAATATTTTAGCGTTATTGATATCCTGGTGGCTGCTTGACTATCGATTTTTCTTGCTAACATAAAATCATGCAGCCACTTCAACCTGACTGGTAATACTACCTCCATTGTCCCCTCTTCATATTTTCTTTACCAAATCCACGACTGGCATGACTGACCGTATCATAACAGCGATACACAGTCGTTGACTGACAGTGTGATGGATTATCCTGTCGAGAATGGAAGAACCTATCATAGGTACCACGAGGGAGGTATGCTTACCATCCCGGCTCTGTTAGGTCTCGCACAGCATGGCTAATCCAATATATAGCCTATGTATATCCCAATGATGAACAGGAAATAGACCGCCTGGACATGCAACATCACATGTTCAAAATGGCGATGGACGGAAAGCTATTCCAAGTTCCTCTCCAAGACCCCAAGCATATCCTTGATATCGGCACTGGCTCAGGGATATGGCCAATAGAGATGTGTATGATCACCCGTCCCAGTCCTAAAGTTCTTGTCTCACCATCTCAAATTGACTTCTTATAGCGGCCTTGTTTCCAAACACCGAAATCATAGGGACAGATCTCTCCCCAGTACAACCAACAGAAGTTCCGCCAAACGTCCATTTCTTGATTGATGATGCCACTGAAGAAGAGTGGCTATGGAACAAGAACTATTTTGATTTCATTCATACCGGCCACATGACCGGGGCCATGCCCTCGTTCAAGCGTGTACTACGACAGGCATTCAAACACCTTAAACCGGGAGCATACATGGAATGTCACGAGCTCGATCCCAAACCAAAATGTGATGATGGTACCATGCCCCCCGAGAATCGAGACGGGGGATACAGCGCATACGCCATGCATGATTGGGTAGACCTTAATATACGCTCAGGTCGCGATGCTGATCCACCAAGACAATTCCGAATCGCTCACCGGATTGCACAGTGGATGAAAGATATAGGATTCGTCGATGTTGAACAACGACTCTCCAAAATCCCCACAAATACCTGGCCCGAGGACGAAAAGTTAAAGACCATTGGTGCTTGGAGTGAGAACAATTGGCTTGATGCTCTGTCCGGGTGGTCATATAAGCCCTTTCTTGCACTTGGCTGGTCCAAACCTGAAATTGAGGTTTTCCTCGTTGATGTAAGGAAAAGTATACAGGATCGAAATGTCCATGCTTATATGGACTTTTATGTGGTGACAGGACGGAAACCGCTTCCCAGCGAAGTCAGAACAGCTTCCTGAGTTCTTGTCATCTCCCACGCTTTCTCATCATGACTCTCTTATGTTTTATCACACCGTTCCGTTATGTCCCCTCCAAGATGATTTGCATGTGATACCATTGTGGGCAAAATTCTGCATACATTGCATTGGCGTTGTCTTTATGATTCAAACTATCTTTTTTTACCTTCCATATAAATACATTTCCATACCTGATTGTAGTTACAAACAGGTAACTATGCGAACATTCGGTATACATCTGAGGTGACTTCAAAGGATTAAATGGGTCATAACATGACATAAACATAGGTCAAGCATAGAAATAAATTAAATGTGAAAAACAAGAAAATAATAGCTGGACCAAATGCTATAAACAAAATATGATCGTTACATATATAGACAGAGGTGATAATAGAAGCCCAAACATTGGTCCGTTGACTCCCGCCCTGGAGCAATGCGGAGATTAGTCATCATGCCAAGAATTGGAAAGCTGCCATGCGAAAGTTGATTCCGAGTGCTTGCGACAAGCCTAAGACAGCAATAGGCCTGCACATGCTATAGCCAATCCCATGTCTTTCGGCAGACATGCCTACCGGCATGCTCTAAAACCGCCAGCTACTGCAACACTTGATCATCCCTGGATCAGTGATGACCTGCTCGCAGCCACGTTTCGTCGCTTCGCCAATAGTCAACGGCGCCATGGGAGCTGCGTTCCCGGACCATTGGAGGCACGGCGACGCCTGGCGAAACGAAGAAACACCGCTCTGGCAAGCATAGGGGAGGCCCGGCTGAAGATATCGCGTGCTTGTTTGGCCGCAATGGGAGGGAACACATGAAATGGACTGACCATCCATGGCAGAGAGCGCCATTCGAAACCCAAAGTATGTGTGACGAGACACGAAAATCTTTTGAGTATTTGCTAATTGTTTTATGAAGGTTTCGTCGATCACTCTTTCGGTCCTCCTGAAGTACCTTTTTCTTTCTCCGACCAGAACCCGGAGCCTGGACCCGAGCCCAGCGAATTTCATACTACTCATCCTCCTCCGTCATACCTCGCTAAGGGGGGCCAAGCTACACGTGAACAGATGCTTGAGGGATTCTTGGATGGGAACAATTGGGGCATTGAAGATGCAAGAGACTTCACTCGTCGGTTGAGAATTGACCTCCACCGGGAGCCGCGATACAGCCGGCAGATATTCGAGCGGTTACTTGCTCGTTCGGACCCAGACCTTACAGAAGCAATTGCATTCCTGGATGACCCATTTTTGAATACCCGCGGATCCGGGAATTACGCCGCAGCTGTCGAAATCTTTGTTCGAACGAAAACGAAACGCGGCAAACGAACCGCCGTTTTAAATGCGATTAATCGGGCGTTGGAATTGGGGTTGATTTCGACTGATGAGATCTGTCTGATCATTACCGCTTTACCGAATATCATCGTCGAACGAAACAAGACCCTGGGATCATGGGACCACAAAGCTTTGTTGAAGCACTACCGGGCGATGTGGAAAGCTATTGGGTGCTGTAACATCCTCGGTTATCACGATTTGGATAGAAATATTGTTGATGCTTGGCTTGGAGAGCTTCTGCGTATTCGCAGCTTTCGTTTTGCTGAGGAACTCATCATCGAAACCCATGATGCAGACCGTCGCAGCCAGTGGCCTTCTGCTTTGGTTCAAGCTTGGTTGGAAAGCATGGATGTTGATTCGGAGACAAGCTTACCGTTTCCCGACAAGATATTCAGCCAGCTTGATGTTGACAGTGCAGCGGACTGTGTCATTCGTGTGACAGAGTCATTGGCATCGTCTTCAGCAGACAGGGTCGCCAGAAACCAATTGCTTGAAAGATGGCGGGATTGCCTCGCGAACGCCGAAGTCATTTCGACCGTTGCCAATTCACAAGTCTGGTTCGATTTCCCTCTGCCGTGCGTTCAAACACAAATCAAGCATGCCCCTTTGAGCCATTCAACTCAACGTCAAATCATTTTGCGACTCTGGCTTTTACGAACGCTTGGTCGATCTACTGGGCCTATGTACAATCAGAGTGCAAGAGCAACGGATCGACCGATCTATTCATTGCTCAATCTCTACCAAACGGTGATACAAGATACCAGCGGAACATTCTATCCAAATTTCATGCGAGAAATCCATGACCTCGATCTCCCATACAACAGCCTTCTGCTCCTAGCCTTGAACAAAAAGGGCAAAACTTCCATTACCAAAACAACCCGCAAAACCCTCGAACAACTGGAAACCTCCCAGCTTTCCCTATCAGAAGTATGGACAAACCCATCCATATACAAGGGAATACAAAAGCTTTTCCACACCACATTCGACGAAATGTTCCACCGCATGAACCTCACCAGCCCAGACACAGTTGAAGAAATCCTGAACGTTGTTCGATCAGGAGACTCAAAGAACATCTGGCCCATCCTCAGACTTCTCAACAACAACACCCCATTTAAGGTCAGCCTCCACAAAGCCTGGCAGCCCATTCCACACCCCGACGAGAAAGTTCTCGTGCGATACCACCCAGCCCCGCGGGACAGCCGATGTCCCGATCCCCATGCTGCGGTCGACCTCATAAACCAGCTGGCAGTTGCGCTTTCCTGCTGCAGGCACTTGACCCCGTGCCAGTCTTTCCATATGGTTCACTGGCTTTACGGGTATCTTCGCAGACACGGCGGGCCCGTGGATCCGGAGTTCGTGCGGGCCATGTATCATGCTGGTGTTGTCCGATACCGTCGTGATGGCCGCCGTATCTCGGCTACTCAGTATGAATACATCCGTTGGATCGTCGGCAAGTTTGAAAGCTCTGAGGTTATTGAAGAGCTCACTTCTCTGCCTCAGATTGGTGAATCGAGGGTTGATCGGTAGTAGATGTGGTATGTGAATGGATGTATACACAGGAAATATTTATACAATAGAGCAATACGATACCCCTGCTTCAATATTACCTTGCCCAGAGGGTTCCCAGTTGAGCATACAATCTACATGAAAACTATATCAAGTTTTTGAAAACTCCGGATTTCTTGTCTCGGCCATCCGTGCTCTACACCTTGTAGCATAACTCCACGGACAAGTACGTCCGCTGTCTTGCCCGAATTACGATAGTACAGAGAACATAGTGAGACCGAAGAAACCCATGCGTGCATTAAATGAATCCAAGAAGACCACTGATCAGTGCGTCTCCAAGAAAATTTAAGTATCAACTTCCATGCTGTCCCCAGTAGCAAGGTTATCATCACCGGACAGAGTTTCGATCGTGACATATTTCTTCATATCTTCCTTGCTGATAACCCTCTGGTCCAAATAAGCAGTGGTACCACGGGGGAAGCGGTAGTTGCGCTCCTTCTGCGGGCGCTCGTTGGGCTTCATGTAGTTGCGGAGCAGCTGGGTAGGCTGGTCCTTCTCGATCACACACACGTCGACATTGCTACCGGAGCCCAGATCGTTGAAGATACCGGCCTTGATTGCCTCAGCACAGATGTCGATGGCGCCCTGGCGGTCCAGGTTTGGTTGCCAGGTCGATTCAAACACAGACATTGCAGCCAGCGATCCGGATCCCATCGTCACGTACGGCAGCTTGTCTGTAGATCCGTGTGCATGCACAGTGTACAGTCCCGTGCCGGTCGGGTCCACGCCTGCAACAACAAGGTACGCTCCGATGTGGCCTTGGTACCGGAAGAGGTGCTGCTTAAGCATCGTCATACAGGTAATCACACGGGGGTCGCGGCCCGTTGATAGCGAGTGAAGTTCGACGTTGGAGCTGATGAGCGCCGTGGTGAATTCGGTGTCGGCGGCGGTACCGGCTCCAGCACACCAGATCTTCGGCGCGATGTAGTGTAGCTTCTCACAGTTCTATAGACAAAAAATGTTAGATACTTTCCAAAATGAATATGCATATGGTCTGATAGGTATATCTTACCTTGTCTGCTACTATAGGACCGCTGGTAGCTCGGGTATCTGCTGCAATCTGGAATGGCGATTCAAGTCAGCTCCTGGGTCACAGCTCGTAGGAATCTCCTCGCATCGTTTGGGACCGTACCACAACACCCTTATCGTAGATACATCCAACAATTGTTGTACCGGTACTTGTGGCCTTGGGAAGGGGAACACCCCTAGCGTGAAGCGCCGCATTGCGGTTGTAGTTTGTGAAGTCGAAGCCGGGCATCGTGATAACGCTGGTGTTCGCGACCAGCTAAACTAATTATCGAGATAGAAAGCAGGTATAGGAAGGAACAAGAGCAAAATTCGAATATTGGGGGAGATCGAGAAGGATGGATGGACGAATGGGGTAGCAAGCTGGAGATGGAAATGAAGAGGAAGTGAGCTGTTTGGAGTGACGAAGCTCCCGCAGCCTAAATTGAAGCCTGAATTATCAGGCATAAACAAGGTGTTTTTGCCGGACATTATTTTCCAATTCAATGCTTTTCTATTGTAGTCTTTCTTGACTCTTCTCTCTCCAACCCTTTGCGCATCGGCGATACCCGTTGCGACCCTTTTTATTCTTTGCTTGCCTTCTCATCCCTGGGAAGCCGCGCACCCTCAAGATTTTCGCGCATACTCTCAACCTATTCTCCCGGAGTCCTCAGTCACTCCATCGCCGCTCGCTCTCTACACCTCCCAACTCACCTTCGCCTAATGCTCTCAGACATAGCTCTCCTCTAAGCGAAAGCACACGTTCTCCTTCTGGGACATTCAATTCCGAAAAGCTTAGAATGGCTTTCAACTTCGGAGCGTCCAACCCCGCTGGGGGAAGCGCCTCTGCGGAGCTTGGTCCAGAGCTTCCCGATGTCTTTACCGATGTATGTTCAACCCGCCACAGCTTTCACTCACCGAAATCCTCTCTAATGTAGCTATAGGAAGTCGGTTTCAAAGGCGTATCCGGGGACGCAAATATCCGCTTCCTCCCAACGGCATGGCCCGACGACGCGCTGCCTGCTCCTACTTCCTCACTTCTGGCTGTCGCACACACCAAAGGCCTCATTGTTGGCGCTGGCCCAGATGCGCTGGTAATCAGCACCGCTGATGTCGTTAGAAAGTCCATTGAGGCACCGGCTGGAGAAGATATGGAGAAAACGAAGCCCTTCCAACCCATCGCCACAATTCCCCTTCCTTCTCGTCCCACTCATGTGGCATTTACACCGGGCGACGATGGCCTGATTCTAGCCACGGAGAATGGTGTCACAATCTCGGTTTTCGATACCAACACCCTCACACAAGGAAATGCGCAGCCGGCGATTTCAATTCCTACGAATGGCGTGTCGCTACGAGCACTGACACCAAACCCCGACCCTTCCTCGACACTCGTCGCGCTAGTGACAGTTAACGGGGAGCTTCTTATCGCAGACCTTAAGGCTGGGAGCCTAGTTCCTGGACCTAATGGCCCAGTTCTCAAGGATGGTGTCAGCTGTGCTTCATGGAGCAACAAAGGAAAGCAGCTCGTTGCTGGGTTAGCCGATGGCACTGGATACCAGATGGCCCCAGATGGAACGAAGAAAGCTGAAATTCCTCGGCCATCTGATTTGGAGGGAGATTGTCACAGTGAGTTTTATATAACTCCCAGAGCTAAAGATGTCATTTTGCTTACGATTATACAGTTTCATCAATCGCATGGCTTGAAAACGATGTTTTCTTTGTCACATACACTCCAAATGCCGCAGAAGATGATATGGGAATGAACCCAGCTTCTTCATACTACATCATAACCCGTCGCAAGCAGGCACCATTCCTCATCCAGAAATTGCCAGAAGTCTGCTCGACTATGGGCTTTATGTTGAAGCGTGGTCCCGCATTCCAATTTATCACCAGAATTAGAGAGTACAAGCCTCACTTGAGAGATGTCCTGATCGTCGCGTCAACTGCGTCGACTGATCTCGGACTCATCACGCGATCTGACCAACCTCTGGCCAACGATGAGCGAACCAAATCTCATGTTGGTCAGTTCATGACCACAGAAGTTAGCGACGACACCAAACGTGCCAGTGTCCCGTTGAAGGACTCTGGAGATGAGACATCGGTCATTGGTCTGGCACAAAACCTCTCAGCCACGGAAAATGTCGTCGCACCGCTTCCGGGTTCCGATATCTTGGAGAGCTCGACGCCCCTTCCCGGGGTTCTTCTTTTGAATAATGATGGTATCCTTTCATCTTGGTGGTTTGTTTACGCTGATTCCATTCGCCAAAATATCCCGTATTCGGGATTGATTTCGTCCGGCCAGGCAACCCAAGCTCCGTCTCAGCCACAGGCTATAGCTCCAACCCCGGCCGCTGCCCCTACACAGCAACCTGCATTTGGCCAGTCAGGGTTTGGAAGTTCGTCGCCGTTTGGCAAGCCAGCTTTCGGAAAGCCGGCGGGAGCCCCTGCCTTCGGTAGCCCATCAGCCTTGGGAGCTTCGACTATGGGCGCGACCGCTTTTGGGAAGCAAAGTGCTCCGGCATTTGGAAGTCCGTCCCGGCTTGGTGGAAGCCCTTCCCCGGCCTTTGGAAAGCCATCGTCACCGGCCCCTGGTCCCACATTTGGGACCCCCTCTCAGCCTGGTGCATCATTCGGCACCCCCAGTACCCCTGGACAGCCACAGTTCGGGAAGTCTGGATTTGGCGCTATGGGATCTGGACTTGGACAGTCTAGCTCCCCGGCAAACCCATTCGGAGCCAAGGGTGCGGCATCTAGCGGTGGTGGCTTCAGCTCCTTCTCCGGTGGAGGCGGCTTTAGTGGCTTTGCAACAGCGAAGCCGGGCGAGTCCCCATTCGGAGCGAAGAAAACAAGCGAGTCACCATTTGCAGCGAAACAGCCAAGTGAGTCACCCTTCGCAGCAACACAACCAAAGGCGTCACCATTCGGAACCGCCTCTGCTGGTGAAAGTGCTTTCTCCAAGAGCTCTGCCTCGCCCTTTGGGGCTAAGCCTCAAGCCCCTACCTCGTTCCCACCTCCAGCGTCCAGTGAAGTCAAGAATCCCTTTGGTGCTCCAAAAGGTGGGTTTGAACTCAAGTCTACCTTCAAGGGCGATGGCTCGGCTGTCAATGATGGGCCAAAGTCAGACAAACCTTCTGCCGGAGCGTTCTCGTTTGGTGGCTCCTTTGACGAAATGGTGTCGACGCCCCGCAAGGGAAGCTCGTCGCCGAGTGAATCAATGGATGATGACGCTGAAGATATCGAGCCTGTGAATAAGGAGACATTCTCAATTTTCGGCGGGGCAAGCAAACCTGCTTCACAGACCCCCCACCTCAATGTTCAGCTCAAAGACGCAGACTACAAAGACGACCACTTCGACCGAGAATACCAAGTCGCCATTCTCTATGTTTGGCGCCACTGTTGACCAAAACCGCGTGACCAGCCCGTTGTCAGCGCTACCTGATAAGACCGAGACACCCAAGAAGAATTGGTCCAACACATCTAGTATCGACGTGGAGGCGCCATTACCACCAGACCCTACCACCCGGGCTAGTTATGCAGCTGGAGATACTTCTGCTTCTTATAACGTGTCGAAGTGCTCCGCTGAGGATGCCCCGCTTCCTCCTGATTTCACCAAGGTGAAGAAGTCTTCACAAGCTGAGGATGACGCCCCTCTACCGCCTGATTTCCTCTCCCTGAAAAAGTCTGCACCCGCGACGGACGACGCTCCTCTTCCTCCCGACTTCCTCACCCAGAAAAAGGCAGCTCCGAAGACGGACGATGCTCCTCTCCCTCCCGACTTCCTTACTCAAAAGAAGACTGCCCCAAAGACGGATGATGCTCCTCTCCCTCCCGACTTCCTCACTCAGAAGAAGACTGCGCCCAAGACGGACGACGCCCCCCCTTCCTCCCGATTTCCTTACTCAAAAGAAGACTGCCCCAAAGACGGATGATGCTCCTCTCCCTCCCGACTTCCTCACTCAGAAGAAGACTGCGCCCAAGACGGACGACGCTCCCCTTCCTCCAGACTTCCTAGCGAAGCCCAAAAAATCCGAGACTGCAGTTGTCCCCGAAGAAGCACCTCTCCCGCCTGACTTTACGGCAAAGCCAAAGACCAAACCTGTCGAGGAGGCAGTCCCAATCCCGGATGAATCGGATGAATCTGGTATCTCTGATGGAGACTCCGAGGCCGCAGGCGAGTCAGACTTCAGTGACAGCGGCGAAGAAATCACACACGACGAAGCATTCATTGCCAAGCCCAGGCCATCAGCACAGAGCTCGTTTGGTGCTGTTTCGGAGCAAAGCTCTACCGGAGGATTCTTCAGCAGCCCTGCTCGAAATGCGGATGACAAAAGCCGCCTTCCCCGGCAGCTGTTTGGGGAGGTCTCTAAGCAGCCGCTGCTTCCTCCCCCGGGCCCTATTTCCCAGGCTAATCGTGAGCCCTACCGGTCACCGAGTCCGGTTCGGATCGGAGGGAAAAAGAACGTGTTATTTTCCGAGAAACCACATACCCGTAAGGGGTCCACAGGCGCGTTGCACTCGCGTAAGGCATCTCTTACACAAATTGCCAAGCGTGATGGCCACTTGAGAAAGGCTAGCGATGTTGCTCGCGAGGAGCAAGAGAAGCAAGCACGCGCACATGCAGCAGCTCAACTTCAGGAAGATGATGTTCTATCGTTATCAGATGACGACGAGGATGATAGACTTCGGGATGAACTGGCTCAGCCTGTTGAGCCCGTTGATACTCTGGATCCATTCTTACCCCACCAAAACTACATGGGCGAGACTGCGAAGCCAGGTATTGCCGGACAGGTCGAACGACTCTATCGTGACATCAACTCCATGGTAGATACATTGGGAATCAATGCTAGGTCAATGGCCGGATTCCTTCTGCACCAGCAGCCCAAGCAACCCTCTGATATTGATGGATGGGTGATGGTCCTTAACAGCGACCAGCCCGCTGACATTCTCGACACAAAGATGACCTTGAAGGATATTGAGAGATTTGAAGAACTGATTACTTCAATTGCGCAATCATTGGACAATCAACGGGTGCAGGGAGTGGATGAAAAGCTCGATGCATGCCGTGACCTACTCACAAAGCAAGTTGTCACCCTGCGAGGCCAGTTCGCAAGCATCCGGAAGACCCTTGATGCACACACCGACATCGGCGCTATCCTCGAAGCACCACTTTCTGCCGAGCAAAGTGCACTCCAGCATGATCTGCGCACCACATTCACGAATATCCAGGTCAAGATGACCGCCCTTGAACAGGCAGTCTCCCTCCTGCGTGCCAAGATCGCCGATATCCCGCAGGCAAATGGCACAGGCAGGAACCGACCAACCGTCGAGGCTGTTACTAAGACCATTGCTACAATGATGAGCATGGCCGAGGGAAAGAGCACAGACATCGATGTTCTCGAGGCACAGATGCGCAAGCTTGGCGTGGATATTGCTCCCACCGGACCCCCAAGCCGTGAGGCCTCCCCCTTCTCTACTCCTCGCAAGAACATTGCTGGCCGTATTCCCATGACTCCCGGGTCGCGAGGCTCGGTTGACGGTAGCGCCTACCACACCCCCGAGTCCGCTTCGCGCGGTCTCAACTTCCGAGCCAGCATCAATGGCTCGGTGAGACAGAGCCGTCTCCGTAGCGTGGAGGGTGCTGGCGAGACTGCCATCCTGCAAGAAGACGCCGTCCATTACAAGGCCAAGAAGTCGCGTCGTCAGCACTTGAATGCCAACTTGAAGAAGGCCTTCGAGGACAAGCAGGTCAAGGTGCGCGGCGTTGATGACTGGTAGTTTACTTTCTTCTTATTTTATTTCTTCTTTGCTTTCATTTGGTTTTCTCTAAAGATTCTGATCCGATATTTGGGGGAATTTGCTTTGAGCGTGGATTGGTATTTGGTGGATGGTCTTAATTGGGCCAGGGAGTCATGGCATGCACATACGTGGATTTTTTTTTTTCAGCGCCACGGTGAGTGGCTAAATTAGCTATCAAATGCAAGCCCTATCTACATGCAGTTTTTATTGAGATTTAGTTATTGTTCTTTCCATGTCAGTCAAACTTGATCAGCTCTGTATATTTAGATGCACCCCTAGCGCTTAACAAAGAATGAGATTCTGTCAATGAACTCGGCCAATGAATAACGAAGGCAAAGAATGGACTTGTTCAAGGGATGTCGATCAAAGACTTTTGATCGACTATACATAAAAAGCATTGTAGTAATGAACGGAAAGACGTCTTTGTTCTCGACTGCATCGTAGAATCGTAGAACATATAAAAAGGCAGATGCCGTCGACTTATGATTACACCATTAGCACAAGCAGCATTCCTCTAGACCATTTTCCAGCAAAGCCCAGTTACCTCAAACCTATTTTATCTATCTACTTTATCTACCAGCAAAATGTCAAGAGATGCGTGTGATATGTGTCCTTTCATGACCGGCACCGACCGTTTGGTGGACCCCCGGGATGATGCAGCTCTTTGGGTTACTATAGAATTCCCAGAAGAAATGGGGCTTACGCATAACGATGAACAGTTGATGGATTTTGTTGTTCAGCAGGTTCAATTGGACGAGGTCAAGATTTTCAATCACGCACAGCATTACCAGAGATCCTTGTGCCTCTCACTACCAGTCATAGGAGTTCTTGGAGACGAGGAACACAATGATGTAGTCATGGCTCAGGCTAAGACTTTGGCGCTCTGGTGGCTTAGAGAAATCCAAGCACACAGAGTTCAGCTGGGCTGGCATGTGATTTTCCCTCAGTTCGGCCAGAAAAAGTTATAACAGAGCAACTACCCATGTAGGGGTTGTCGTTCTGTTGGTAGAAGCGAGTATTGTATTATGGCGAGAGGTATCAGGAGGTGTGCAATCGATGGGATTATTGGGGGGGGGTACCTGATAGATAGATAGAGCAGCTATGTTGAGAAAGAAGGCAAAATGAACAAGAGACTCAGGAAAAGACGTCAAGTTCCACAGGTAGTAGCAAATGATTCGCAAAGCGTAAGTCCCCGGCTGTAGGATCCATATTGGTCGAATGCCACAGTCCGCATTCAAGTGGCCCACCAAGTCGAGGTTGAACCGTCAACACAAGTCAACAAATGCCATTTGGTTGGAAAGCAATCGAGCGTTAAATTGAAAAGGCAACTGTAGCAAACAATTAGCCAAGTACATGAAACGATGAAGGATGCAGAGCGTGAAAGAAGCAGAAACGAGACATCATCATGAAGTTCATACTCTACAACCTCTTACCCTAGATCATGTTGACAAAATAAAATCGCAATGCACATTCCACTTGGGGAGTATCTCCCCACTGCAGGCGCTCAGGTGGTTTCCAAGGCGAGGGCTCGATTTCACCGAGAAACTAGATTCACTCGGAGAACATACTCAGGCAAGGTTATGGCGATGTGGGAATCGCTGAATTTGAGAGGTCACCAGTGTGTGCAACCAATGGTAAGAAATATGGAAGAAATGAGCCATAATTTCGGTTTCAGACAAGTTAACAAGCCATACGATCAGAAATGTGAGAGCTATGCAGTGGCTCAGCGCGAGAAAAAGCACAAGTTCCCGAAGAGCAGCCATTTAATCAGGGACAATGTGAAGGTAGGGTACACTACGTAACTTGAAAGTATGGCAAATAAGAACAGTCGAAATCCTTTGTCACGGAATGGGGTGTATAGCCAGGAGATTAGTTTGTATGATTGCATGATGCCAAAGAGACGAGAGAAGAAAAGAGAGAAGAAAAGAGAGAAGAGGAAAGAGAGAAGATCAAGTACTTGGCCATGACTCTACTGGGAAAGGTACCAACTGCACAAAATAGGAAAGAAGGGAAGGTGCCAGGGTCCATTTCCTAATTGGGAGTTCTATAGTCCAGTGACATCATGTGCCCGTGACATCAGCCATCGGTATTTTGATACTCCATATCTCTCCCATCCGTTGTCATTGGAATACACCACCAACCCACTATGTCTCAAACTGTTAGTCAGGTCATCTTCTTCCGTGTCAAACCCTCCGTCCAGCCTGAAGACCCGGACAGCGAAGAAGGCGAGGCTCTACTGAGGATGTTCCGCACGACCCAACACCAAAGTGGTCATGAGCACTCGGCCTGGGGACGCACAGCCGAGGACAAAGACACCATTGTCTGGGTTGTAGGTGAGTTCAGTAACCCCCCTACCCCCAGAATAACCCTTAAAAACCACGATATACCTACGATATATCCTACTCTTACCCCCACAGAACCTACAGCCTACAGCCTACGGGTCTAACCAAACCAACAGATTGGACTGACCCCCGTAGCACAATAAATGTCCACCTCCTCGACCCCTTCCTGGCCCCAGAAAATACCCAGCCGCCGTCAGCACTACACATTACGTTCAGCCCACCACTCTCCTGCACAGAAACCCTGACCAAAAATCCTGTGACCGAGCTGTGCACGCTGTCATTCCCAAGCGATCTGGATGTGCTAGCAGTAAGGCAGATCCACGCGGACTTGATTAACTTCCGCACTACACTGGTCGAGCAGCTGCCACAATCAGCGGGGCCACGGTCGTGGTCAATGGGACATGTTGACCGGCCGAGTAAGCTGCCACACGAGAAGAGCCCGAGCGGGCAAGCTTTCGCGCACCTCCTCGCTGTTGGCTGGGAAAGTATGGAGGCGCATCTCAAGGCTAAGGAGACAGAGAAGTTTATCCAGAGTATTGCGCCTCTGAGGGAGAAGATGCTGGCTCCTATTCCTGGGTTGGAGATCAAACATGTCAGTTTTCAAAAGATTAAGGGTTAGGGCTTCCAAGGGAGGAGGAATAAGAGCGGAAGGGGAGAAAGAAAGAAGGAAATGGAGGAGAGCGAGGTGCCGTGGATTAGTGTTGGGGACTTGGATGTAATTTGAGCTGTGTTGCGTGGATCATAGGATATGTCGGTGGTAATTAGAGCAGGAAGTGGAAAGGGAAAGGGCTACTTGATTCAAGGGATTATTGCGGGAATTGTTATTAAAAAGGCAAAAAAAAATCAAATCACACGCCTTGGAATAAGATACAACGAGAAAGTAAGGGAAAAAAAGGAATAACACCCCGGAAGAGATCGAAGGCAAAGAAAAAGAGACTTCGTTAACCACCGTAGACTTTTGGGCATAACCCTGCAATAAGACTCTTGTAGCAGGCGTAGGTTGCGCTGTGACACTTAGATCCGGTGTTTTTCACTCTCTAATAAATCAGTTAGAACCTGGGCACAAGAATCTGCTTCTAGGGGACGGGGGGGACGAACCAAGTCGGGAATAAAGCATGTACAGAGCCATCTGGTTGCACTCCGCAGTACCAGTGATAGTAACCAGACGCTCGTTGCTGCTCTCCTGTGGCTCGTTGATCTTGATGACACTGCCGCTGAGGTGACGTATCTCGTTAATTTTAGCCCCACCCTTGCCGATGATGGCACCAACCATATCGTTTGGAATGTAAATCTGCTGGGTCAGTGGCTGACCGGGCATGGCAGCGCCCACAGGGGCAGGGGCTGTTGGGGGTCCACGGCCAGGGGTCGGCTGCTGGGGACCGCCAACGAAGGGAGCGGGCTGGTGGGGGCCGGCGCCACCGTAAGCGGCCTGGGGAGCAGCGGGGAAGTGCATTGGGGTCTGGGGGACAGGAGCGGGAGCTGGCTGGCCGTGAAGGTAGGGAACACCGTACGCACCACCACCGGCACGGTTGGGGTGAGGGTGGTGACGCTTGAAAGTCTCGGGGTGGCCGTATTGGCCGCCAGCGGGCTGAGGAACGTATGGAACAACCTGCATACCACCAGGGACAGCACCGGCAGGACCGCCGCTGCGAGTGGCATATGCTGAAGCTGCGGGACCACCGTAACGTTCAGACAGCTGCTCGACCAAGGTGACTGCGACATAGTAGGTAGCAATGTGGACGGCATCTGCAACACCGAGGATGACAAGGGATCGTTCCGTGGACAAGGGGAGGCAAGCATCCGAGGCGTTCAGGCGGGCGCCGGAAGCTTCCTGGATCTCACGAATGCGGCTGCCACCCTTGCCGATGATGGAGCCAATTAGAATGTGGGGAATTAGCAAACGCAGAGGGTAGGTCTTGGACTGTGCAGTAGAAGCGGCTTCCAGAGGTTCATTGTTAAGGGTACGGATGATTAAACCAAACGCCTGATAGTTGTCATTAGCAATCGAATATTCGTAACAAACCTATTAAATGGAAAGAAACCCACCTTGGCAGCGGCATCCTGGGGACCGCTGACGGTCAGGATGCGCTCGACTGCACCTCGAGAATAATCACTGACAGTGCACTTGGCACCGGACAGACGACGAATTTGGGACACGTTCTCACCTCCCTTTCCAATCACGGTAGCTGCCTCCGGGCTGGAGATCACTGCGCGAATATGAACCCAGCTTGACTCGTCCTGGGGGGGTTGATCAGAGCCCGCTCGGTCAGCCTGGGAAGCAGTTGATTGGATGGGCTGGGTGTCGACAGGGAGACCCTTGCCATTGGGCGCATCGGGAACCACGGTATCACCCTGGGTATCCTTGGCACCTTCGACAGTAGGAACCTGGCTACTGGATACATCTGTTTCCGCTTCGGCATCGGCATCGCTCTTGACTACTTTGTCCAGCGCCGGGCGCTTGGCCTCTGGCTGGTCGTTGGGGCCGGAAGGAGACGAAGGGTCCTCGAGAGGACGCTTGGTCGATTGAAGGTTGGATGGAGAAGCCGACATCTTGGATAGTCTGTGCTGCTGCTTTGTTTTCACTTACAAGTGAAATCGAAAGGTGTCAAGAATGAATTCTGCGTTCTTCTTTTTTATGATCGTTTTATGTACACCAGAATTTCCCACGGAAGGTGCTGGTGCTGGCGATCGGAAGGGGAGATTGGTGCTTTGGAGAAGATTGGGTCAAGGAAAGGTGGTGCTGAGGGAGTGCCGATGGAAGACGGGAGGGAGTGCAGTTTCAAGTGTGAGGGCTTTGCTGTCACAACCGGGGAAGCTTCACGGGGTCTGCCGAGATGCTCGAAAGGAATAAGGAAGCGGAAAGGGTGGATATGGGGTCCTTGGGTGAACGCGATGGGGAAAAGAAAACGAAGCAAGTAAGATATCAAGCGCCAGAAACCGTTGCCTGCTGTACCACACTGTAGCCTCCGATAACGTCTGAATCTGAGGTCAAGGGTGTGGGCTAAACTCGTATTCGACGAGTTAATAGCTTTACTGACGAGAACGTTGTAAAATTTAGAAGAGAGGTGGGAATAAGGGAATTGATGAAGGCGATGAAATGAAATCCCGATGAGTTAAGGAGAGGAGGTGAGGTTGACGATGGGGGAGGGAAGTCGAGGGTGAAGCTTGGTCACATGACGTCGACGCGAAGGTTGCATGGGCGTGATGCATCTCGTCTCGTGTCCAATATTTTGATTACCTCCAAGGCTTCAATCAAACATTCTACAGCAAGTCTAAGTGGCAATCGAGTTTTAAATTAAAAGTATTTTTATTACTTCTAGAAGGAAATATTTGCATTTCGCGTCACTCCGCCAAAATAAGCATGGATATCACCGACCAGACCGTGCAAAAGATCCAGAAATTCGCAGAAAAACGCCAAGAAGCAGAGCAAGAATTGGCAAATGAGCCTCTCACTGGAACTGCATTGCATGTATACACGCGACGTTTAGATGCAACCTTGCAAGGGCTTCAAGAGCAAGTGAAACGCCAACAGGATGAATTGAACAAGGCATGTGACATTCTCATTATAGTAGAATACCTCGACTGACATGAGCTATAGCTACGGGAGCTCAATTCCCTTGATCTAA